GCCATTTGTCATCAGGATATATGATAAAGGAAAATACAGCTAAGAAAGGGGCCTCTACATTGTGTTTCAGTAAACTATCAATCTCATTTTTGTCGACATAGCGTATTGGTGATTTTTTAGAAGATTAGTGTTTTCTGTGGGAATAGTTGGGTTTCCCTGGGTTGAGTAATGAGCAACACCTCACCCTCAAGTGAACTGAAAGCTTCTCCGATGGTGTATACCTACAGGTCAGATGGCGACCTTGGAGCTTAAAAGGCTTCTTTCTTTTCTCACTATTGGTTTTGGCACATAAAACTTTTTCTCCCTTTGAGCTTCAACATATGCAAACTTGGAGCCAGTTGAAGAAATATCCACTTGATGAAAGCTACAGAATACTTTTCACACAAAGATCCATGATACATGCCTCTAACGTAGGTAGCAATATTAATAACAGGAATGGAAATAAATATGCCGATCCGGATTCATGCTTGAAAAATATAAATATTCTTCTATATGAAGCATGATGGAAGAACTTGTCATGCTAGCTATCATTTAAAATTCCCTTTTAGGTCTTACATTGTAGTCTTGCTTTTTAACTTTGCTTCAGTTAGTTCGTTTGTGAGGGAATTGGAATCTTTATAGTATCACCAATTGCTGGTAGGCCACCCCAAGTGAAGAGGATATGAACATTATTTGCTCCAGGAAAAGCATGTACTTCTTGATGTTATCTATTCAGTATAAAGGACATGCATTGGGAGGTGGAAAGTCAACTTTGCAAGTGGGATTGTAGGTTTTTGTGGAGTTTGGTTGACGGGATATTCCGATGTTTAAAACATAAGGATTACTTCTTTTGATGATCCAGAAAATAATTATATTCTGTAGCATCTTTGTCGTTAGGCTTGGAATGTTCTATTGCTTCCAATAGTTTTGAGGTTTTTGATTATTTCTAAGACAAAAATTGTTATGCTGAATCTGTTGCAGGGACGGGGTAGTTATGAAGATCGTATGGAAATGCTACGCCTTATTGTGGATCTTGTGGAGGCAAGCATTTATGCTGATAACCCTGAATGGAGGTTAATTGTTTGACTGAACCTTAATGATTGTGGAGATTTTTTTCTGAACATACTTTGAAATTCACATTTCATCTCAAGTTTTGGTTTTCAATTTATATATGAAACACTTTTATTGTTTTTTTTCTCCTCATAGTGTTGATGAGCAGGTAGCAAAGGATATTCAATTGATCGATGCCATAGCTGAAAAGCAGGGTCAAATTTTCTCAGAAGAATGCAAACTGTTTCCTGCCGATGTTCAGATCCAGTCTATCTATCCTTTGTAAGGAAGATTTCTTTTTCTCCTTCAAATTGCACGATGAATTTGTTTACTTATTGAATATGTTATGTTCTTCCAAAGGGAACTGATAAAGTCATATTGGGCTTCGGAAAAGGGGAAAAAGACCCATATGAAAATTTGTATTCAACTGAAGAACCTAAAGTGAGAACTATTTGAATCACTGCTGCTTCTGCACCTGCAATTTAGTCGACGCGTACTTGAGGTCTTGGCTTCAAGTTCCATGACCCACTGTCCCTGAAAGTTCAAAAAGGTCTTGACCGACAAAAGATTCCTCAAGTGCACACGATAGTGTAAGCCAAGTGAAAGAGTAATTTGGCCGTTGCTTGGTTTCTAAGGTTTCTAGTGCTTTCTTTTTCTTCCAATTTTGGAAAGTTTTACCAGCTAATTGGAAACAAAAGTAAACTATGGCCTCTGGTGTAGATGCAATCCATTTTTTTTCCTTATAAAAAATTCCATCTCTGTATCTATGGTAGGATATGGTATAATTGCAAAATAGAATTGGAACTTGGAAAAAGGTTTTGTAAAAGCCTTCAGAATTTACTCAAGGGCACGAGTTTTGAGTTGTTGTCCGGCTGCTGAGTGCTGATTAGCTGGTGAAAGTTATCATTCCAGCCCTCATTTGTATTTGGATCCTTCAGGAAGACTTAGTATAACTTGCATTCCCGTGTGGAACAACACTTCAATCTAATTTCCTTCTATCGCAAAACTATCCTAGCCAAAAGTAGAAGTGCAATATTGATTCAGAGGTCGATATGGATGAAGTCCAAACCACCCTAGCCAAAACTAGTTGTTTGATATCAATTCCAAGGTCCATATGGACTTCTGTCTCTTACTGCAGGCTCTTCTGTTCCTACATTGCATCTTGGTTATCCCTGGAGCTTTGTAGAGGCTAGACGTGAAGACTAGAGGCAATCTGAAAAAGCTGAAGAAAAAAAAAGGAGGTTGTGGGGGTGGGATGTTGAATTGGCGGGGTAGATTGCTTCAGTTGTTTGCTGCTCTTGGCTGATTAAGGTGCTATTTATGGATCTATATAATGAATTCTTGGGTGGAGCAAATGGTCAGTTGGTAAAAGGAAGAACGACTGCAAAGTATTAAAGAACTCGAAAGGAAAAGAATAAAGAACAGAAAGACTACTGAAAACAATGATTAATTTGTAATCTTTGCTTTTCTTTGAAACTGCTTATGTTTATATAAATATTTTTCTGGGTTGTATTCTTCAATATTAACTGTAATGGTCTTGTTCCACTTCTGACTTGTTAGCCGGCAGTTATTTGGTGAGATATCATCCTTTTTGAAAACAAAGCTACATATGCCTGCTTGCTTGAAGAAACATAGTATACCATTTGCTATATTTCCTATATATGGTAACTTTCTACTGATTTAATCGAAGTTCACTTGCAGGCCAGACATATCTGATTTGGAGAAGCAACTTTCAGATCAATCAAATAGGCTTCTGAGTCTTCAGGAAATGGTTGATGATTTAGCATCAAAGGTTTATCCTCTCAGCACTCACTGCTTTCTTTTCCTTGTATTTAGTTTCAGCTACTATGTATATTAGCTTCAAATTGGTTATATTTTGTGTTCAACTGGAAGTCATGGTTAATTCTTCTCTTATAGCATCCATACAACCCAGATGAGGAATATGTAGATGTTGAAGCGAAACTACGGGGACATTTGGAATCTTTTTTAGACACCGCAAGAACCTTCAACACAATCTACACAAAGGTTATATTTTCTCCATATTCATCTATTATGTCTCCTGTGGTTATCTTCATTAATTGCATTCTATTGAGAGGCTGGTATTTTGTGATGGAACCCCAAACCAAATCCCCCTTCCCTACCCTTTGGCTCACTGTCTTTATATGTCCCTTCTAACATTTTGTGTTTGTATATTCTCTTCATGACATATTGGAGATGTTATAACTGTAGGAAATTCGTCCGTGGACGCACATGATGGAAGTACCACAACTGCATGGTTTTGGGCCAGCTGCCAATAGACTATTGGAAGCATATAAGATGCTCTGGAAGGTACTTCATATGAAATATATGTTTGTTCAGGATATGGATTTATTAGTGTTTTATGGACAAAAAGCCTGTATAATTAAATTTTGAAAGGTTTGAGTCAGTTCTAAGGTGACAAAAGAGGTTCTACCAATGTTGCACGCTTTGCTGATAACACCTCGAATGCAGATAGGAGCATAGATGACAATGGTTCTCTTCTCGTTGTCCATCCCTTCTATTAGGAAGAGTTGTTTTAGCTTTCTTTGGCATTATTTAGTCTGGTGGTTGCTTCAGTCTTGTTTATTTCCTTCTGATTTGCTAATGCCATTTTCAAGAGTATATACATTGAGTCACTGCTTTGTCTTGACATCTCTGACAGTTCCTGGGGAACTTGAAGAATCTTCGGGATTCACATGCAGCTGTAGCTCTTGGTTCATCTGAAACAGTGGCTGGCGAGCCATCTTCCGTGACTAGAATAATCTCCGAATGTGAAACTGCTCTTACACTCTTGAATCGCGATCTTGCAATTCTTTCAGCTTCTATTGCACGTGAGCGAGGTGAGGATACATCTTTATAATTTGTCATTTGACCTAGAGTTGGAGCAAAAGTGAGAATACACTATTTTGTTGTTCTTGTAAAATAACACCACATTGGTTTTTAGATCATTTGCGTTAAACAGGAGTTTTCAATTAGATTGTGCCAAGTACCAAAGGTCTATGATTTTTGTACCTAAACTGATCAAGGAGTTTTCAATTAGATTGTGCATAAGTACCAAAGGTCTATGATTTCTGTATCTAAACTGCTCAATTAGCAACGGAACTGTAATTTGTTTTTGTATCCTCTCTTGCACCCAAAGCAAAATAGTAAGAAAAAATCACATTGCTTTGGCTTTTAGAATACTGATATATTGCCTCTTTTCGTCTTCTGAGCCGAGGGTCTATCGGAAACACCCTCTCTACTCCCTCGGGGTAGGGGTAAGGTTTGCGTACACACTATCCTCCCCAGACCCTACTAGTGGGTTTTCACTGGGTCGTTGTTGTTGTCTTTGGCTTTTAGAATACAACCAAAAATAAGAAGAAAGGAAAGATCAGAAACCTGGCATTTTATCTAGACTTGGAAGGGGTTAGTATATTCAGTATGGAGATATAGATAGATGAGATGACTCTTTTCTTGGTGATATCCAGTTCTCTTGATTTAGACGGATAATTTAAGTTTTTTTTGGTGTTCTGCTAAATTTGTTATTATTCTATATTCTTTTTTTTATTTAATTTAAAGTACAGTACCAAAAGTTAACTATACCAAACTGACATTGAAGTCAAATTAAAAATAACTGGACAGTTCCAATAAAGTTTAATTTTTGTTATATACAATAGATTAGTTAGAAATTAGTATGCTATAAGATTGAAAAATAGCTGATTCTACTCAGGCATTGACATCATCAGACGTCAAACAAAGCTTGGCATATCAGACAATAAAATTATTAAATAGTAGTAATTGAAATAGAATTACAGATTACATCATTATATTTCCGGATTAATGTAACCTCCTTAACTCCTTAATCTAATTAAAGAAAAACTTTAATCTCCTCATTTTGAATAGATGTCCTGCCAATATAAATCACATCACACAGTCAATTGCTAACAAAGCAAATGCCTGAAATGACTAAAACCATGGCAAATACTGTAACACATTATTCATTTTTCATCATCTCTGCTATTCTAGCTTCAATATTTGCCTTCACCAAAGCCACGAACAATGGTTTTAGCCTTGATCTCGTTCATAGAGATTCACCAAATTCCCCCTTTTATGATCCTTCCTTAAGTTACACAAAGCGAATGAGCAATTCATTTCATCGCTCTTTCAATCGTTCTAAAGATTTTGGTTCAAGATCCTCGATCATTGTTGCTTCTAACAATGGAGAGTATCTAATGAAATTCTCCTTAGGTACACCCCCTGTACATACCTTAGGAGTTGCTGATACTGGTAGTGATCTTACTTGGACACAGTGTTTGCCTTGTAAAAATTGTTTCAAGCAACAACCTCGTCTCTTCAACCCGAAAAAATCCTCTACGTACAAATCCTTACCTTGTAATTCTAAAAAGTGTCATGCCCCATTTTCAACTTCTTGCAACAGAACAAAAAGGACTTGTGAATATCAAGTCATGTATGGAGATCAATCATACAGTGTTGGTGATTTAGCGACAGAGACGATACGATTTGGTTCGTCGAAAAATACACAAGTCTCCTTAAAAAACACCATTATTGGGTGTGGACACAATAATGCAGGTACATTCAGTGGTGACAAAGAGTCAGGCATTGTAGGATTAGGAGGTGGAAAATTTTCACTAATTTCCCAAATGGGATCCTCTGGATGTAAATTCTCTTATTGTTTAGCTCCGTTATCTCAACACAATCATGTTCACAAAAGCAAAATACATTTTGGTACTAATGCTATTGTTTTGGGTAATAAAGTTGTGACAACACCTTTAGCTAAAAAATCTCCAGCAACCTTTTATTTTCTCACACTAAAAGGTGTAAGTGTGGGTAAAAAAAGATTGGATTTTCGAAAGGTATCTTTTTCTTTCGGAGAGGGAAATATTGTTTTGGACTCAGGGACTGTGTTAACGCTGTTTTCGCCCGAAATATACGTTAAATTAGAAGCAATGGTGAAGGAGGAAATTAAATTACCAACAGTAACAGATCCAACAGGTGCACTGAGTTTGTGCTATAAATCTTTGTCAATTGAGGAAATTCCAATCATAACTATGCATTTTAAAGGTGCAGATTTGAAGTTGGGTCCATTAAATACATTTATTGAGACAAGTGAAAGCTCCATGTGTTTTGCTTTTGCTGCATCATATGGTGTTTCAATTTATGGGAATATTGCACAGATGAATTTCTTGGTTGGTTATGACTTAAAGAGGAGAAGTATATCTTTCAAAGCTGCTGATTGCTCTAAACAGTAGCATAGTTGAGAGTTTATAGAAAGCAATTGATGCAAAATTTATGGTTTTTTTATTTGCTGATTATCTTTATGAATATTGAAAGTGCAAACAATTAAACTTCAATAGTAGACAAATGTTTTGGTCCCAACATGCTAGATTATGATTATTGACATACACAAGCTGTTGGATTTCTTTTTTGTTTCCTTGGATTGGTTTCTTTTCCTTTTTTTTTTTTGGCATAAATTTAGTAGCTCAATGATTTTTAAAGTAAAAAAGCGCAAAAAAGCAGCTATATTCACGGCTTGAACCAAAAAGCAAGCAATGAAGCGCATTATTCTGTGAAGCAAAGCTTTATACGACTTTAAAAGTACCATATGACGGAATAGATGTATTTTTCCCGGGTATAAGGACTCATCATTCAGTATTCTGCAGTCAAAAATATTAAATTTAGTAAATTTATTCATAGATTTATGTAATTTGCATCTGCTGCTTTTTCAATATGAACTAATCCATGCAATAAATGAAACACAAAGGAGTCAACTTGAAATCCAAGATATTAGTGTTGGCTTCTCTAGACAATGAAAGAAAACTTTATCGATGCTGGACTCAACCACAAATAGCACGGTATAACCAGTTTTTGGACTGGTCATTCAAAAATAGCCAGCGTTTACGAATTCAATGAAAAGTAGCCACTATTTTGCTACAACAGAGACCGGTCCAGCATAATATACTGGAGTTCCGTGCACCTGTGTATGAACTCCAGCATATTATGCTGGACCGGTATACTTTGCTGACTCCAGTATAATATACTAGAGACTGGAGCACCGATGCTCCAAACTCCAGTATATTATATTGTACAATTATACTTGCTGGAACTCCGGTACATTATGCTGGTGTTCTAGTGTACTTATGCTGGAACTCCATCATATTATGCTGGAGTTCCAGCATACTTATCCTGGAACTCCAGTATAATATACTGGCGTATTTTCCGGGTTTTGAACAGTGTTTTCGCTCAAATTTATCTTTACATAAAAAGTGGCTAAATTTCGATTACTTTTGAAACTGGGCTATTTTTGAACGACAATCTGACTATTTTTAAATTTCTCCCATCAATAACTCATAAACATTGTATATACGTCTTTCTTCGTAAAATAAATTATACCAGTTAAAATTCAGAAATACATATTTTACATTTAAATTTTACGGGCTAATAAAAAGAGTTTTAAGTATCTTTGTTTATGGATTCGCTTGATCAGTTACAAAAATCAAACTCCGATTGATCAATTACCGTAACAAAATTAAAGCCATCTGAATTCAATTGATCAGTTTCAGGAATCAACTCTATCTGGATTTGATTGATCAGTTACCTGATCAAAATTAAAGCCATTTGAATCCGATTGATCAGTAACAGGAATCAAATTAACGCTTTGGCCACCATTTACTATCGGCTCAAAGACATCTGAATTCGATTGATAAGTTAACGGAACAAAATTAAAACCATCTAAAATCGATTGATCAGTGGTAGGAAACAACTTAATGCCTTGGCCACTGTTTAACAACTCCTATGTCTCAAAGCCGTATGGATTCAGTTGGTCAGTTATGGAACCAAAATTAAAGCCATCTGAATTCGATTGATCAGTAGTAGCAGGAACCAAATTAACGCCTTGACCACTGTTTAACAGCCCCAGTGGCTCAAAGCCATATGGATTCGATTGGTCAATTACTGGAATAAAATTAGACCCATCTGAATTCGATTGATCAGTCGCAGGGAGCAAATTAACGTCTTGGCCATCGTTTAACAACCCAAGTGGTTCAAAGCCATGTGGATTCAATTGATCAGCTACTGGAATAAAATTAAAGCTATATGAATTCGATTTATCAATGGCAGGATCCAAATTAACATCTTGGCCACCGTTTAACAACCAAAGTGATTCAATCCCGATTGATCAATTACCGGAACAAAATTAAAGCCATTTGAATTCGATTGATCAATAGCAGAAACCAAATTAACGTCTTGGCCATCGTTTAACAGCTCTAGTGGGTTATCCATGCATCCATCAGCATCTGTTGTAGGAATTTGAGTGGAATATGTGTTATCATCAGGGAACACTAAGCCACCTTCGAACAGTTTCCTACTATAACTCCTATCGCCATTGATTCCGCAAGCGAGAGCACCGATAAGAGCAACCATAATTAATCTCGAACTCATATTTTCACTGAAAATGTTTCAAAAAGGAAAAAAAGAATAAGTTATAATATACTATGAATTAAATAAGAAGTACATTGAAAAAGGCAAAATTTGAGAATTGCAATTACTAAACGTGCATATATGTTAGTTTATATTCATCTATTCAAGCCAAGAAATTTGTGACGCAATGCAATACAAGGTGAAACAAATTATTTCCAGAATATAGAATCAATAATGAATTTTTTTTTACCTATTCTCGTTAACTCTCATAGAAGAAGAGGAGGTTAAGAAATTACATACGTTACTAGCTTGTCGAGCAGTACTGGACCAAGCTTAGTGTTTATATGAGGGCTTTAAATAAATTATGTAAAGAAGGGAAGCAAGTTTTAATTACATTGACATTTAAGAGTATCAACTAAATTAGCATTTAATTGTTAAATTCAAAACAAAAAAACTGATGTGAGGACATGGAAGTCCATATTTTAGACATGAAACGTAATACTCCTGTTGCATTTAGTTGTCATGAAAAGTTTTTACACGTCATCTAAGAAAATGTTAATCAGAAGAGTAATTTTATTAATTTATCCTTATTAATTCTTTAATCTTTGACCACATTAAATCTATTTTTCAAAAAATATGTTAACTGTATTCATGTGTCTCTAAATTTAGAACAACTAATGCTAATTTCAAATTAATATGAAATAATTAACTTTTTTGATTGTCTAAAATGACAAGTATATTTACTATTTAGGAGTAACTGCAACAGACGAAGTATATTGGGTTAACATAATCTGGACCTTGCAATTTAAAGCTGATAGGTTACAAGTACTTTGGGCATAAGTACTTTACTTTATGTTTTGATTATCTAACAAATTTACCATTCAGAACCAGATAAGGAACGTGTTACACATTTACAAGACCTTAAGATCACAAAGTTCCAGGTTGGGATCCAGCGTGGGATATAACTCAACTCTTCAGAGTGGAAGGAACAGCTGAGGGACCAAGTCCCTACCAGTTCCCGGGGAGACTGTATGAAGCCAACTCTCCTGCTGGAAAGCTGCTGCCTGCAGACGCTACTGCACAGGAACAGTGCAACAGTCAACTTTCTGTGGAAGGTTTTTTGCCTACCTTGGTTACATCATTGTAAGTGATGTCACACATGTATAAATACAATCAAGGAAGGTAAAACAACTTACTTCATGAGAGAACAAGATAAGGAATCTGATACAATTAAGTTCCCTTGCATTCAGAATAACTAGTTAGATGTCTGGTTCAATTCTCAATGAAATCAGATAAGGAAACAACAGAGGGACCAGATAGGGATCAGTTCCCCTCGTCGTTATACAGTCAACTATACAGCTGTAAAAGCTGTTGCATTGTACCGTCTAGCAGGCTACTGCACTATACCGTCTGGCAGCAGTCTAGTAGCATAGCTGTAGCTTGCTAAGGCCAAACTAAAGGGCACTTTATTGCATCATCCTTGATGACATCACACACACATATTATCAACATGAGGCAACGGATTTCATTTCTCTAACACTTGCAAAATCAAAAGAAAATATTCTCTCAAGTGCTAGACACAACCTCTCTCAAGAACAAAGCTGCTGCAACCTCAAGGACCAGATCCAAAGATTGAAGATATCTTAAGTCCTTAGGTTTGTTGAGTCTTTGTTATTTGTTCTTCATTTGTAACTCCTACTTAGCTTAGTTAGAAGCATTGTGTAGGAAACCCTTTGTAAATCATAAACCCTTGTGTTTGTGTCTTGGCTAGATTTAGTCGAGTTGTGAAGTCTTTGTAATAGAGTTATTACAAAGTGGCTTGTAATAGTGTTGTTACAAGTTAGTGAGTGATTAAGTCTTTGTAATAGAGTTATTACAAAGTGGCTTGTAATAGTGTAGTTACAAGTTAGTGAGGGATTAAGAGGTTAATTCCTAGGTTACAATAGGTTATAATCTAAAGATTGCTCAGTAGTGAAGTTGAAATCCTACAAGGGTAGGTCGTGGTTTTTAATCCCGTTGAGCTAGGAGTTTTCCACGTAAAATTTCTCTATGTTCTTTATTTACTATCGATTTGCTATGGGAACAAATAGAGAACCTGATTCCCTATACTGTTTGGTTTTACAGTCTGTTGCTTACAGTGAAAACTAATAGAGAACCCAGTTCTCTTTACAGTTTGGTGGACGCTTAGTTTCTATCAATTGGTATCAGAGCAGGTTCTTTCTAAAAGGTTAACACCTAGAAAGGATCTACATGGATGCTCCACCAAACTTCGAGGAATGTCAATCAACCGACAGACCACCAAGAGTTCAGAAAATGGTTCGTAGAAATGGAGGCATTCCCAAGAAGGGTAGCTCTAGCAGAAACACTAAAGGATACGATTGTTGTCACAGGTGCAGAAAGTGAGGACATTTTATCAAAGACTGTCCTCTCCACAATCAGGACCATTACAAACACAATGCTGACAAGATGGTTAAGAGGAACCCGGTCCCCGACAGAAAGTTCAAGAGAAGAGAGTTCGCTGATAATATTGTAAAGCATGCTCTGGATGCCTGAGGAGATTCCTCTAGTGAATCTGAGGGTGATGATGAACAGGCAGACACCTTCATGATGGCCGTTGAAAGCAAAGCTGCAAAATATGAGTCCATATTTGCATTGATGGCAAAATCTGATGAGGATGAAGAAGAAAAGGATGATGAGGTAAATTTCTTGATGTTCAAAGAAATCTAAAGTATTATTCTCCGAAAAAACTAATGTCTTTGACAAATATTTTAATTGATGCTTATCATAGTCTTATAAATAATAAAGATGCCTTAACTGTGGAACTAGGAGAAGCAGAACAATCGAGAGAAGATCTAGTAGTTGTGGTGGTAGACTTAGAGGAAACCATTGAGAGTCTGAAGAAAGAAAAAGAGGTTTTAACTGAGGGTAATGCTAACATTGAGCATGAGAGAGATGACCTATTAGTGGTGGTTGTAAACTTAAAGGAAACAATTGGGGAACTTAAAATGGAAAGTAGGCCTGAAAATTCTCAAAAGGGAAAGGAAGTTGCAAGTGAGGCACACATTAAGCTTGAAAGTGAGTTAAATTCAGTAAAGTCTAGTCTGTGTGCTGAGCTTGAGAAAAACAAACAACTTCAGGAAGAACTAGGAAGAGTGAAGAGTGATCTTGAAAAATCACTTAAGTGGACCTGGTCCTCTGATGCTATCACTGCCATGTACACCAACAATGGGGAAACAGGCAGGGAATCGGGTTCCAAAGGGGAAAAACTCCCTACAACCCTTATAGCAAGTACGTTACTGTACCTGACAATTGGCTTTGCACTCACTGTGGCAACACTGGGAACTTTAAAGAAAATTGTAAGGCCAGAATTCAGTCTCAACAGAAAAACAAAGTTTTTGCTGAAAAAGTAACTGCTGCTAGGGAACCTGGTCCTTCACATAAAAAACGTATAATGCCTGCTTGAACCAAAAGAGCCCTCATTCACCCCTTTCCTCATTACAAGGGACCCAAACTTGTTTGGGTTCCTAAGTCTAACCCTTGATTTCCTTGTGCAGGGAACAGTGAGAGGGAGCAGTCAACAGTGGTACATGGATAGCGGCTGCTCGAAGCACATGACTAGAAGTACAAATAATTTCCTTTCACTGAAGGCCCTGCAGGGAGGGAGTGTATCCTTTG